ATATAGGAGACTCGTAGGGAGGCTAATTTACTTAACCATCACGAGGCCTGACCTGACTTACGTGGTTAATATGTTAAGCCAATTCATGGACAAGCCGCGACAACCACACCTTGATGCAGTGCATAAGGTTCTCAGATACATCAAACAATCTCCTGGGTAGGGAATTCTTTTGCCTTCTACAGGTTCACTACAGTTACAAGCTTTTTGTGATGCTGATTGGGCTCGGTGTAAAGACACTAGAAGGTCAATAACCGATTATTGTATCTTCTTTGGGCAAGCACCGATATCTTGGAAAACGAAGAAGCAAAGCACAAAATCTCGTTCTAGTGCAGAGGCAGAATATCGTTCTATGGCTATCACCTGATGTGAAGTTATATGGTTAAGGAACCTTTTGAAGGACTTACGAGTGAATCATGCACAACCAGTCACATTGTTTTGTGATAATCAAGCTGCCATGCACATTGCTTCGAACCCAGTGTTTCATGAACGAACGAAGCATATAGAGATCGACTGTCACTTAGTACGTGAGAAGATTCAGATGGGAATGGTGCAAACAGCTTACATACGAACCTTGAATCAACCTGCAGATTTGTTCACCAAACCACTAAGCTCGGCGCAATTTGAAGTCTTACTTAGCAAGTTGGGTGTCATTGACATCCACACTCCAACTTGAGGGGGAGTGTTAAAATGCATGAAATAAACATGTTGGAACAATGGTATTGGATGACTAGTGAAGTTAGGCTAGTCAACTTTCTTTGTGTAAGTTAGGCAAGTTAGGCAAGTTAGGCAAGTGTTAGGCAAGTTAGGCAAGTTAGGCTTATGTCCTCTTTCTTTCCCTATATATAAGTTTCATCTTGTAATTGTTAGAAGGTATCAAATACACATAGAAATTCAATAGAAGCATTTGTCTCAGTGAACTGCATTAGATATATATGTTCTGGATACAAACCTTCTTCCGAACAAATTGTTCTCAGATAGTTTGGAAAGGTACACCGTCTTTGTTGGTGATTGGTGGTTATATTCTGATGTCTAAGGAACCTCCTCTAACATTCTAAAACTCAAGCTAAATACAAAGAATCAATTCGATCAAGTTATAAAAATTGCCGCTAAAGAGATCCGAGCATTTGCACTTGGATGGGAAGGGGGGTGTAAATATTATTTCCCATTTATTGGACATAGATGGTGTTAAACAACTGAAGCATCTCCATGTTCAAAACAATGATCAAGTTACATATCCATTAACTTGAGTAGATGGAGATATTCTCATAATGGCTTTCCAAACTTGGCGTCACTCTCTTTACAACAATGTTAGTTTGGAAAGTGTATGTTGTGGCCATCTCATAGACTAGCCCTCTGAAAAACTACGGTCTTTGATGTGGTAGAATCTACCAAAGTTCATTGGTTTTTCAGCACCTCTGTTGTAACTTGTAACTGCACGGACTCAGAAGCAACTACATATACAGAAGCCGGAGAAATCACTATGGAGAATGTAATTTGCAGGGCTACGAAAGTTTTCCTGAATTGGGGAGGTATGATCTTTTCTTTTCATGAATATGGATTTCTGCTAACAAAAGGGTTTTTATTACAAATTGTTATTGAAAGTGGCCTCACTCCTCACTTTAGCTTCTAAAATTGAAAATCGATTAATGTCGTCTATACCGTCCCATTCCATTTATTTTTTGTTACTTTGATGAGGTGTCGTTTATTTAGCCGACCCTACTTAGTGAGAAAATGCTTTGTTATTATTGTATTGTTGTTGTTTGATGAGGTGTCAGACATGGGGACCCATACAACTAATGTGTGGAGCCACATGGACTAAACTTTTTAAAGAAAATACAAGATTTAAAATCATGAACACAACTCCCCAAAAAAAAAAAAAGAGTGGGGGAAGAGCACTACCAAGTTACCAACCCAGCTGCTTCAAAACACCGGCAGAAAAGAAAGCTTCTTCAAATCAAGAAGAGACTTTCATTTTCTGGGTTTTAAAAAAATAGATGAAAAAACTAACCTAGCTACCTGCTCCTCATCGCCAACTATCATCTCCATACCCTCTTCAAATTTAATTTCATGTTCTTCTCCAAAGCACCAGAGTCAAGGGGATGGGGTGAGGAGCGACCAGCAGCCAGGTTACGGGAGAGGTTCGGTTTGGCGTGGGGTGGGGGAGGTGATTAACAAACTCTCACTCTTTCCTATGAATCCGTAATACGTGTTTTGATTTCATTTTTGGGATTTCGATTTTCGCAAATCGATTTTGATTTTAATTTTCGGCAATTTGATTTGAGATGGAGGTGTTCGGTTGATTTTTATTTTTGTTTATTTATCTTACTTTTTTTCAGTTTTGTTAATGAGTTTTTAAATGTTAAATCAAATTAAAAACTGTATTTTATGTATAATCCACGTGGCACTACACTATTGGACGTATGGGTCCCCATGTGTGACATGTTATTAAAGTAACTGAAAAATTAACAAAATGGGACACTAGAGACGACGTAGATCGGTTTTCAATTTTAAGGACCAAAGTGAAAAATAAGGTCAATTTCAGAGACTATTTGTGATAAAAACCTCTAACAAAATGGTAGCTCAGCTTATAGAGAAAATAATGTGCCTAAAGGATAATGTATGATTATATGGTTTGGTTAACCAAAGAAGAAAGAACAAAACGCATACTAGCAATGGGTTACTAGTTGTTTCATATTAGACCTTTACTTTATGTCTACTCATCTTTTCTTGTCTATACATTTTGGAATAAATACAACTAATTGATAACCATGAAAATTGTCATTCTTGCTAATTACACTTACATTGTGTATTATATACAGCTGGTTCAGATGCCCCAACTTAACAAGCTTGATGGTTTAAGATTCTTGTTTTCATGTTCCATGGCTAGATGTTCTGTACAACTCAAACATCTTGAGGAATCCAAATGTCAAAAAATGTACAACTCAAATATAGTGACGTAAATACGGATAACAGGTTTTGAAAGCTAAAACATCTACAATTGCAATATCTCCCGCTAGATTCTGAGCAGGAAGTTATACATATTGAACTTCCGCTTTGAAGCTGTTGCATCTAGAAGATTGTCTTAAACTGAGGGCATTCATATTTGATGGTAAGGGTGAAAGTATTACAAAACACAAAGAAACTGAAGAGAATGGGTGGAAGGAGAATCTTGAGACTGCTGTACAATATTTTCTTTTCGATGAAAATGTTTATTATTCATGCATTTATCTTTGTTTATGCATTTATTTCTGTTCGCTCCCTAAATCCGCCATGGACCTTGTGGGCATGCCGGGGATTTGCTCACATACGAGAGTGGTGGGGTGTGGGCGTGCCACTACTAGATGCCGCTAGTAGACGGGATTTGAATGATTGAGGTTGCGCCTTTTGACTTCAAATCAAGAGATTGTGCCATTTGAGTGGGAGTTGCTCAAATCAAGGTTCTTTGTTTGCCTTAAAAATAAGGATTTTACTTATATGGAGAGATAGAACAATATGTAAATGACAAGGTTGCTTGAAAATGTAAATAACAGGGGAAAGTGACTAATATTGCAGATTGCTTGTAGATTAAATGACTGAAAATGAGTTGTACATAAAGACTACAAATGAGATCAATATTACTAGTGAACAGCATAGCTAATAAACTAGATAAAAGAAGGCTTTTGGCAAATCTAGTTTGAGCAGAGTTTGTGCTTGTATTTGTTTGGTTGTTTGAGTGTCCATAATCCTTGTGCTTGTGCTCCTTTATATAGAGGTCTGGAGGAAACCCCCCTGCTGAGGACCTTGTACTTGCCCGAAAGAAGCTTGGGCAGCTTGCATTTCATTGCTTGGACAGCTTGCATGTAGAAACAATATTAAAAGGGGAACTTGCATTTCCACCACATGCTTTCATCACATGTTTTTCCACTTGTAATAAACTAACATTTAAAAGAAGTAAGTTGACTTATTTCACATGTTCCTTGTCCGAAAGCTCTCATGGTGCATTCTCATCCACTTGCATGAAAAAGCATGCACTTGTCTTGATTAAACAATTCTTTTGGCAAACCTCCACCGTCCAAACCAAAGGGAAAAACATTATTTTAATGCCAAACTCTCCCACTTTTAGCCAAATATCTTTCCAAGTTAGTTTTCTTGCACATTAATCCTTCAAATACCATCTTTTACCCAAATTGCCCAAATAAGTAAAAATTGGTATATTTTGAGTCCAAACAATTTCCGATTATCTATCGCACAAAAAAAGATTAATGTGTGTGCGTGTGTGTGTATGTAGGTCGGATTTCCTAACTTGCAGAGACTAATCATCTACGATTTGCCTCAGTTGATCACAATTAATATGGCACGACCAACTTGCTAGACTCTTTTTCCAGGCTGATAAAAGTTCATGTTTACAGATGCCATAGATATGGCAATGCCAGTCACCACTATCTCCATCGCCGTCACCCTACTATCATAGCCACCACAATTTCCACCTCCTGCACCAGCATCACCATCGTCACCTACCACTATTTCCCCTCACCACCCTACTCTTGCCGCCACCCAATGTGCATATCTCACCAATACTGGTACCAACACCCCTCTTCCACCACCTCAACCGCCTTGCTACCAACACCACTCTAGCTGCAAACACCATCACCACCCCCATTGTTACTATCTTAAAATTTATATTACAGAATTTTACCACCAAACACAAATTTACTAGTTTTTGACATTTTAGATATGGGCACTAGACACGTCTTCAATGAAACTTGGTTGTCTTCAACGAGCGAATTGTTCTTCATTTCATTTTCTGCAGGGCTCAAAGTGTGAAGATATGGTTTGTTAAAATGTCTCAGTGAAATTCAAGGCAAATTATACATGTTTGCATGTTTCTAAGCTCAATACCAAGCAAGTTTTTGGATTATAAAAATTGTTTTCCGAAAGTCATTCATCATCTATTTAGTCTTTTTGTTGTTTGATGATCAAGAAACATCCGTTTCGTAGCATAATTTCTACTTTGCAAGTGCTGTATAACCCAACTTTTGCTACTACCATGCGGTTGTGTCCAGAAGAAGCTTAGTACAAAAATGATAAAGCAAAGCAAAAAGAGTTGCATACTTCTCAGTATTCCTTCAGTTCCTCTTGCTCCCTCCATAGATCCTGCGGAAGGCACCAACACCAAGACCACCCCTCAAGTAGATTTTACTTGCCATGAATGCAGATCTAATGTAGTACGAATCAGGCTCATATGCTGCAAGCTCCTTGAATGTGGCAGTCTTCACAATGTCGGTCCAGTCAGGAAGCTCAATTTGGCCGGAGCGCTTCAGAAATTTGAAATTAGAGGTTTATGTGAATTATTCAAAGCTCCCATCTTTAACAGTTGCTACTCTCATCGTCTTTTGAGAGAGATAGATACAAAGGTAAAGATTACAATGGGGAATAGTTAAGAATCCCTCTAAAATACTAAAGAAAAACATATCTAGAACGGAGTAAACAACTGTTTGTCTCCATAGTAGTTTCTCATAGCATTTATGCTGTCAGAAAGATAGTGCTCCACTCCAGAAGAATGGACAAATGTACCGGATGGAGACTGACCTAAAGAAAACATAATTAAAAGTTAGCTTCTGATGAACAATTAAGGTGATGCAAAAAGGCAACACATGATGTGAAATTATTATAACAAAATATCCAAGGTCTGTTAATCTAATCATCCAATAAAATAAAACAGAAATTAAGCACAACAATATCAAAATTAAAAGGAAGGAATGACATGAAACCTTGTGCATAGAACGGTCGTGAGAATGAGTCACACAACAATCAAAATGGACAAATCACAAAAGTGACAATTAAAGGGCACCTAAAGGACACCCCATCTCTCTCTCTCTTTGCAATCGCAGAAATCTCTCGGGTTTGAGGAAGCAAATGGAAAACGAAATGCTTTTCCATCCCTTACCCATACCCATTCCTCGCCTATGTGCAGAATGCATCTCCATTCCATCACTTGTCCGGCGACCCACCCTTATTCTTTACTTCTCCGGTGACCCCACCCCAATCCCCCACTTCTCACCACAAAATAAGTTGATGAAAGTCTGAAATATCTCGAAAAGACATCATAGATAATGGATGCTAGCATACGTGCACCTAATTGGGTCATTAAAATATATGGAAGATGGATTTTTGTGCTCCATTCACCCAAATTTGTTATCTTCCTCGCGTACATGCACCCAATTGGCAGTATAAGAGAGGGTTTCGGGGTGGGTCACTGAAGAAGAGAACGATTAGGAGTGGGATCGCCGGAGATGAGAGGGATTGGAGGGGGGTCGCTAGTGAGAGGATGGGCTGCTCTGGATCTGTGAGAGATGGGTTGACAATGGTGGCGTGAATGAATCTGTGTTAGGACCCTTGGGCCACCATAGGTTACTAGTATTTATTAGCCCATTGCTATTGTTAAACCCACTAAAATTACTAATTCCTAGCTATCCTTTTGTGTATTTAAACTACTATGTTCATCTAAATTTGGCATGAATGGAAATATGAATTTCTCTTTTATCATGCCTGATCCTATCAATCTGGGTGTTTGGTTGCTGGGTTATATGTAGGTGGTCAGTAAAATTGGACTACTGACTGTTCAGTACAAGTATTGTCCTTAAATTGTAAAATTGTATTTGTCTTTTGAGTACCCAATACGACTTTGCTTATGTGGTCTACCAAGTTTAAGACACCTGCTATTATAAGAATTTTACACACAACCAAACACCTCCTTTCTTCCTCCCTGCAACTTTTTCACCATTTTTACTCCACCTTCCTTCTTCTAGGACCAATCACCATGGCTGCCATTTATCATACTTGTAAATGAAAAAAATAAAAAAATTAAATTCTCTTTAAGATGAACAAAATCAAACACTTGGCAGCCTCCTCGCTCTGCTCGACCTTTCAGATTGAGGTTGTCTCTGTTCCTGACCTTGCGTTGCTCGAGCTCATGACTGCCTGGATTTCGCAGTTGATGGCCTCAGATTTCTCTCGTAAACTAGAGCTCGTCATGAGCCTCTGGAACTCGTCGAGCCTTGGCAGAGTTAACTCAGTCAGCTTGTGAGAATCGGGGGTCAACTCCATCGTACCATATAGCTCAGTAACTCTGTGATACAGTGTTTAACGAGCCTTGGTGGTCTTCAACGAGCAAATCGTTGTACGTTTCGATCTCTGCCCCATGCACCGGCGTTAAGTGTGCTGATACGGTGTTTGTTAGAATGTCTCAGTGAAATTCAAAGCAGATTATATATGTTTTTAGTTTTTAAGATTTGAAAACAGTTGCCTATTGGTTTCTAGCTCTTGAAGACCTTGTGAGTTTTTAAGACGTGGTGAAGAGGCAGCCATGCTTTCTCAAGACAACATATGGCGCATATCTTTCTTATCCCCCGCTGGTCCTCTTATCGTTGGAGACTCTGTGATGAAGAATGATATGACCACTACGGTGGTAGCCAGGAACCTTCTCACTCTCAAAGATAACAGACTACTTTCCAAATGGTCTGATGAGTTGGCTGTTAAGGATTCTCTGGCTCTCAATGTTCAGTGTGCAGGTTCTATGTCTAATATGGCCTAACGCCTATTTGCTCGAACCCACCAAGTTGAATCATTAGCGGCTGAAGTAATAAGTCTCAAACAGGAGATTAGAGGGCTCAAGCATGAGAATAAACAGTTGCACATGCTCGCACATGACTATGCTACAAACATGAAGAGGAAGCTTGACCAGCTGCAGGAATCAAATGGTCAGATTTTACTTTATCATTAGAGGTTTGTGGGTTTGTTCTAAAGGCATTTATTGCCTTCGTCTTCTGGGGTTGTACCGAGTAATGAAGCTCCAAATGATCAACCTCTGGTGCCTTCTCCTTCTAGGGTTCTGGCCAGTACTAAGGCTCCGAATGATCACCCTCCGGTGCATTCTCTTTCTGGGGCTCTGCCGACTGCTGAGACTTCTCCTGAGCAACCTTTGTGAAGGCTCCCTCTTGTTTGTTTATTTTGATTTATTTATATGTACATATTTGTAACTTATCAGAGATATCAATAAATAAGCTTTGCTTCATTTCAACGTATTGTGTTAAATACACCAAGGCCTCATTCACTAAGTTCTTTGAATTTTTTTCTTTTGTTGAAGCTTGTATGTTGAAGCTTTGTGAGTGAAGCATGTAGGTTGTGGTAGTGCTCCCTTAATTTCCCGAGTGAGGAAAATTTCTAGGTTGGAGACTTGAAAAATCCGTCGCTGAGTGGTCGTAAGACTTCGAAGTATCAAGGTGCAGTAGCATATGGGTAGGAGTCCCCCCAAGTCTCTGGTCGAGGGAGTTGACGAATGAGGTGTCTTGCTAGTAGCCAATTTTCTAGTGTAACAAGATTTCACCATTTTTCTTTCTAAGTGGTAGCCCAAAACTCCTCCTTCATATATATATTTGTTATGAAAGTTGTTAGGCCCAAAGAAGAGGAGGCCTAGGCCCTTTTTTTTTTTCGAATTTTCGAACCTTTTTTTTTTTTTTTTTTGAATTTCCGAATTTTTTAATTTCCAAAAAAAAAAAAAAATATATATATATATATATATATATATATATATTAAAGCTTTGTAGGTGAAGCTTTGGTGTTGAAGCTTTGTAGGTGAAGCTTTGGTGTTGAAGTTTTATAGGTGAAGTTTTGAAGTTGAAGCTTTGTTGGGTACCATGAATTGATTTTGCTTCACACTATCTTGATCAAAAGTGTATAAAGCTTTTATAGGTGAAGTTTTTGTAGGTGAAGCTTTTGTGTTGAAGCTTTTGTAGGTGAAGCTTTTGTAGGTGAAACTTTTGTGTTGAAGCTTTTGTAGGTGAAGCTTTTGTAGGTGAAGCTTTGGTGTTGAAGCTTTGTACGTGAAGCTTTTGTGTTGAAGCTTTTGTAGGTGAAGCTTTGTTGGGTACCATGAATTGATTTTGCTTCACACTATCTTGATCAAGATAGTGTGAAGCTTTTAAGAATTTGTAGTTGCCCTCCATTTGTTGGAGCTTTTGTTGCTGAAGCTTTTGTGGTGAAGCATTGTAGGTGAAGCTTTGTTGGGTACCATGAATTGATTTTGCTTCACACTATTTTGATCAAGATAGTGTGAAGCTTTTGAGAATTTGTAGTTGTACATTTTATCACCTGGTTGGTGGCATGAAGTAGAGTATGGGTTGTACATTTTATCACTTGGTTGGTGGTATAAAGATGAGTTCCTTCTTCACCTGGTTGGTGGCATGAGTGGCAAGTTGCCAAATGATATTAGAGTACGGGTTGTACATTTCATCACCTGATTGGTGGCATGAAGATGAGTTCCTTTTTCACATTTCATCACCTGGTTGGTAAGAATAAGGGCAATGTGTCGAGGCACATTGTAGGAAGTGTCGAATGACACAAAGTATGTTGAACCCTTTCGAAGCACAGTTGGCTTATGTATGGATGTGTTGGAATGTATGATGTTTATGTATGAATGTGTTGGAATGTATGATGTTTATGTATAAATGTGTTGGAATGTATGATGTTTATGTTGATTGACATGAGTGATGCTTATAAATGTTTTGCTATGCATGAACGGATCCATGCTTTCGATATGTGAACCATGTTGGTTGTAACACTTAGTATCACATACTTTGTGTCAAAGTACGCATGTTGAAGCTCTGAGTTGGAGTATAGGGGTAGGTCAGCGTAGACCAAGTGTTCCAGTGCTAGGAATGCAAAAGACTCAAGAGAAGTTGTCTGAATTCCTTCTTCTTTAAATATTTGCCGAATGGCTTGTGTGACAAAAGATCTCAAGCGGTTGAGGGTCAAAACATTTGTAATGTGTATGCCTTCTTATAATAGCATTTCCTTCAGTACCTAGTCCTCCACTTTGAAAGAGTGAGGCTTAGCCCCATAGTCATAATAGTCAACAGTACGTTCACCCCTAGTTGTCTTGATACGAACTTTTATCACTCTTGTTGTAATGGGCTTGCTAAGAGTAAAAATCTTTCCTCTTACCAAGAGACAAATACGTTTGGTGACTTAGCGAGTAGCTAAATGAGGCAGGAGATGATGCAATATGTGTTTGAATGGTCAAGATCTCCTCACTTAGTAAAACTTAACTTCCACTTCCCACTTGTTGATAGGGGTTAACCATATGTGGGTTCCCTTGGTATGTCCTTGCTTCAGCAGAGACGTGGTTGTAAGCCTGTGCCATCACCTCAGAGTAAGTCCTCCAAGTGTTGGCATTGATCATGTACTTGAAGAAACAATCACGTAGGCCTGCCGTGAAAGCCTTGAGGGCGGTCTTGTCATCTGCCTCAATGCAGCGAGAATACTCATGGCTGAAGTGACTGGCATACTCTCGTAGTGACTGGTCCGGTTTTTGGCTAATAGTGTACAAGTCATCAGTTTAGAGCTCCGCCAAAGAGGGTGGAAAGGAAGAGAAGACATCGCTCTTCGTCGGTGTGCATCTGATATGTCATGGTGGACTTAAAGTGGTTAAGGTGTTTAATCGGGTCATTCCTTCCAGTATAGAGTTGTAAACCAAGCTTTTGTTTTGTCTTCGCTTGAAGGGGGTGTCGATGATGCTCTTTGTGAGAGGGCCAGACCTGGGTTGGTTCCAGTCAAGTATCTCGGCCTGACGTTCGGCCTTCAACTTGTTTACTTCCTCAAGAAGCTGTAGGAAAAAAGGGTCCTGAGTGGAGTCATGTACTACTGGAATTTTCTTCCGTAAGTCTCCATCACCTTTTGGAAGTAGGAAAGTTTGAGCAAGAGCGTGTGGTTTTTCCTTGGACTTGCCGTACTGACTTCTACGGCGAGTATGTCGGAATACCTCCCAGTCCCATGTACCTTCATGTTTCTTTGGGACATGTCGTTCCTTCCCTAGATTGGCAGCTGGCCTGGGTCGTGGGAGGGGACCGAGTTTTTCAGAAACCCTTGGGTCATTGATCTTCGAGCTTATGTGGAGGGGATTCTCTCGACGTTGCTTTAGGAAGTCTCGGCAGTCACGATAAACGGCTTTTGATCCTTCTAACCTTTATGCAATGAGGTGTCTTCCTCCACTTCTCTTGCTTCGGGTCGAAGCAGCTGGGTTGAGAGAAGTCTCATGTTGATCAATGTTTTGATGACTAGCTTGCTCCTTATTAGGGATATCCATGTCGAAGGAAAGTGACCATTCGTGTTGGGGGGCACCCAGATGATGGTTGATGTCCACATGGGCCACAAGCTTGTGTGTTTGAGCACGTCTAGTTTTGTGGAGCGTCTCGAAGAACTTCTCATATTGTTCCTGAAGGATTTCATTCTTTATTGCCATCTTGTTGTTCTGAGCCTCCAGCTCATCGACTTTAGCTTGAAGAGCAACCCTTTTTCCTTCATTCTTTCGTTGCTTCGCACTAGGTGCAA